GCGGACTGCTAGATAACTTTTTTTTTAAATAATAATATTAAGTATATTAATATTATTTCAATTTCCACATCAAAGACCGCAGTCTTGTAAGATATTTGCCCAATTGTTAGATAATATTTCTTATCGGAGAAGAAATAATATATATATTAAAAGAAAATTGTGTTCTTTTTACATTTTGTATTTTATTAAATCAAACCCCGGACCTCAAACCAGCTAATAATATATTATATTACAAATATATTTCTAAAAATAAAAATTAATTAATTTTCTAGTAGGGAATGGCAAAGCATTTGCCTTAGATTTTGCTGTCGAAAATTGAACTTCGGCTTCCTTTCTTCTGTATATCAAAAAGCATCTATAATCAAATTTATACTTTATTTAAGTAATTTTAGGAGAATGTTGTTAATTTAATAAGTCTTACTCTGTATATGCAGGAATATTTTCTAAAACAAAACAAATATTTCTCAATCAAAATAAGCCCTCACTATTGATAATTAATCATAAATACCTTCGAACATTAGAACTTCCACCCACAAAACATACCAGTACTATGTATACTAGCTTCTATGTATTGTTAACTATTTCTGAATTCAATCATTAAACTATCTGTAAAATAAATATTCTGACCTACTTCATATTTCTACATGCGTGAAGCAGCTGTTGGCAACATCAAAATTTTTAGGCATAAGGCGAATAATTCGAGGAACACCCTTTATGTGCATTTGTGTGGGAAATTTGGTTTGTCGCCTTTTGTCACTGGGCAAAAAAATGAAATTTTTGCATGCGGAAATAACAACAATTGTGGCTATAACATTGCAATGACAGCAGCAGCAACAACAACTACAAAGTTGCCCGATTGGAATTGGTCGCATTTTGGGAATTTTATATTTTTTCTGTATTTTTGATGGCTCTGTTTGGTGTTCGATTTACAACTTTACTGAAATTTTTGTGGCTTGGTCATCAACTCGTTTGCCAGCAGCAGCAGCAGCAGCAGCTTCAAGCGAAATTCATATCATTTTATGAGTTCGCCTTGGCTGCCAGCCGAACTTAAAGTAGGGTATCTGAGCGCTTGTGTGTGTGTGTGTGTGTGTGTGTATCTGTGTGGCCCACATACGTACTTGTCGGCAATATAATTCTGTGTTCGGCACAACTTTAACTTTCTTTTAGCTTTAAGAATTTTGGGCCGCAAAATCCCCACAAATTAGATAAACATGTAAATGATTATTGACACAAAAAGGACGACAACTGTCAGGGATGGTGAGGTTAGGGTAAGGGGGAGAATGGGGGGGGGGGGGGGGTAAGGCTGTATTAAATCTGAATGTGTAATATGCGTATGAATAATAAGGTATCCAAACAGGGCGCACAAAAAAGGGACACAACTGGCAATACAAATTGACATTTTATTTGCCTTTCACCTGATGACAGACAACAGCCGACAGCCGAGAGTCGACAACAGGCGAGGCGAGAGGAGACGAGTCGAGGTAACCGCAACGCAACCGCAGGCCAGGTGCGGGACAGGTGCGGGGCTGATCAGATCAGAGACCTCCCAAAAAAACGCATAATGAAGTAATTGAGTGGCGTGAAAATTCTGTTGCCAGCACGTCTGAAGTCTGTAGCAATGCGGAACACATAAATATTAAGCTTAGCATGCCACAGATACAGCTTACAGCTTAAAGATACCAAAATGTAACGCACAGATACAAATGTATCTTTAAGGACTGCGCTGCCTTGGCTCCATTTACCAAAGACCCATCATTGACAATATATTAAAAGTTCGCTCGCTTTACTTTCAAAATGTGAATGCACTTTTATTATAGTTGTTGTTGTTGTTGTTGCTGTTGCTGTCGTATACGTGACGAGTTTTTTTTTCGGGCATTGCTCTACTTTTTCTTTGAGCAGAAGCAGGAAGATGAAATTATTTTTGGGTTTGTTGCCTTTTCGGACATACGTTAAATTTTGTCTTCACGCTGAGAGTTGAGAGTTTTCTTGCTTGTTTATGGCACTGAAACAGAAACTTAAGGTGAATGTTGGACGGCAACTTAAATGAGATTTGTTGGCTTGGCGTAATTTTACAATATTTTTATCTAGCCAACTTATAACAGAAGCCAGGCAGAGTACTTAAAAATAAGGCACATAAAAAAACTTTTAATAAAAATAAAAAAACAATTGGGTCATATAAAAAAAACATTTTGTTTTAATTTAAAATATGGCTAAGCAAACAATTGTACGCTTAAATAACAATTGCGCTTAGTTTTTGTATCAATTTAATGCGCAAAATTTTCGCTGCAGCAAATTAAATTTGAGTCTAAAGCGAAATTGGGCGAGTGTCGAACTGTATTGGGGCAATCAGCCAGGCGAGTCACGTGCTGTGAGGGTCAGGCGCTGGGTCCGCATCAAGGGGAGGCTAAGCTAAGGAATTCGATTTACATGACAGCGGCAAGTGTCACAGTCTATCAATAGCAAATGAAGCAGCTGCTTCTCACAATTAAATTCAATAGGAAAAACAAATCAAAAAATTAATTACGTGTGAGGTTAGCTGTTAGCTGTTAGCAGCATTGCGTGCCTTTGTCTTTGTCTTTGTCTTGACTCTCTGTTTTCGGTAATCGCCGTAATGACCCTTTCGTTTCGGCGGGCAAATCAATTGCCAGCGGCTGTCAAATTAACCGGCAAAACATAAATAATATCTGAGGCTGTTTCATTGATGGGCCAAAGTCCATTTAATCAAGTTGATGTGTGCCGCATATTAAGTATACGCAGCGGGTGGTTGGGCTCGATGGGGCTAGTTATTTAGCCGAATGTTGGCTTTGGTCGGGCTATTCAAATATGCAATTAAATTCTATGCCACTTAACGATGTCCATTTACAATTATCTGCTGCGCCTGGCAGCCATCTAAACATATAATTAAGTTTAAAAAGATCATGTAATGCCAAGTATGGCTGCAAGATCGTGCTAAAAATAACGAAGAACGCATTATAAATGCCAACTCAACTCTAGAGAAGGGCAACAGCAACAGCAGCAGCAGCAGCACTTAAAGGTAATTTGCCCCATTATGGCGTAAGGGCCTGCAAATTGCACATCTAACAAGTTAAGAATAGAATAGGAAAGCGATATGCACTAAAAATAGTAACAAGCGCATCCAAATGCAGCCGCAGCAGCAGAGCCGAGGAGCTGCCCCAGCCAGAGCCTGTCCAAGAATTGCTCCTGTGATGATGGCCCATAAACGATGAGCAACATTTCTGCTGCTGCTGCTGCTGCTGCGTCTTCTACAGCTGCTGATTGACATAAAGAGCAAGTGGAGTCATAAAAGAAGTTGCTGCCAGCAGCAGCAGCAGCAGATGAATCAACATTCCAAGCGGTCAACGTACCACGCACCAAAGCATGCCACAGCGCCCAGGATGATGATGTTGCCACAGCATCAGCAGCAGCATCTCCAGCCGCAGCAGCGCCCATAAAGACAAAGACAGTGGGCATTGAATGCATTGAAAGCGGCTGCTTAAGCCGACCAAAAACTAAGAGAGAAGAGGCCAAGGCAAAAAGATGCCAGAACGTAACATTAAAATAAACGCGCTCAGATAAATCTTCAGGTTCTGCTGGCCTCGCCTTTCCTGGGCCCCTGCAGCCAGGCGGCCAGGCGGTCAGGCAGCGAGGAAGAGGAAGAGCAAGACGCTGCCTGCCAAGTCCAGCGAAAATGCAATCAAATGCGTGCACTGAGACAAAAATAATGTAATATTCATTCATAATATAATACGCATTCAATTTACAGTCAATTTAAATTTCGATAATATATATTATTTAATTTGTCTCAATTGAAAAAATATAAATTTTATCTTGCTTGAAGATGCAGCTACTTTTATAAAGAATGTTAGCTTTGTATTTCAATATTTTAAGGCACTCTGATATAAATTTGAAAAATAAATCTTGTGCACTTAGTAAACGTTTAGATCTTTAAAAGGACTTTAGATTAAAAAAATTATTAATTTAAATACTCAAGTGTATTTAGATTCCTTTTGTTGAGTAATGAAATCAAGATCTTAATCTTGCAAAAGGTTATTTTGTTTTTTAATTTTACGCTGCGCCTTCTGAATTTTACCAAGCTAAATTTTATAGAAATAATAAAAAATATATTTTTAGGTGCAAATTAATGTATATTTACAATAAATTGCAATATACTGAATTATATTCGAAATATTAAAATATAATAACAATAATATTTTCTCTAAGTGTGCCTGTCAAAGTGTGCTTGTGTGCGTGCGCGTGCTCGTGCATGTGTATGTGTTTTGGTTCGTGCATGTGTATGTGTTTGTGTATGTGTATGTGCTTGTGTTTGTGTGCGATGCGTACGTGATGTCCAGCACTGGGCAGTGGTCACTTTTCAGTCTGTTGTGCACAGCGCCCCGCTCGCGCCTCTAGTTTTCAAACCCAATCCAAAACCAAGAGTGTCCAAGTGTGTCCAAGTGTCCAACGAGGCCATCTGCAAAATGCACGCATCGCACATCGCACATCCGTGAAATTCCTGCGCTGCTCTCGTGCTATGCATTTACGTTGACGTTGCAATTACAACTTGCGGCCAGCAGCAACAACAACAGCAACAACAACAACAAGAGGCAGTTAGCTGTGGCCCTTTCTTTGCTTTCAGCTGCGTTCTCACGACCAAAGGCAGCTGCCTCCCCCCAGGCCCCTCTGTTGCCAGCTGCCTGCTGCCTGTTTACTGTGTGATTATTACAAGAAGCCTGAAAATAACAGGCTTTTGCTTAGAACCCAGCAAACGTTGACTCTCCGCTCAGATCAGTCAGTCAGCCAAGTCGGGGCCAAAGTTGCTTAAGAGCTTGGCAACTTAATGCCACGGGCGGCTTCATTATGGGCCCAGACACAAAGCCAAACGACTCGAGTGCACTTTAAGCTCTTAAATTTGCCAAGTGGCACTTCAATGATCAGAACTCCTCCCCCCTGCCCCCGCCCCAGCATTATCCTTATGCGACAATAGTCGACAGATGCGACACTTTCTTGTTTATAATTATTTTATTTGCACCAGAATGGTTAGCACCAATTCTGGCACTATATATGCTTTAACTATTACTATATATATTATATTACACTATATACTGATGATCACAACTAATCTAATCTCTGCACATTCCGACTCGTGACGTGACCCATTTAATTCCCCGGAACGGTTTCTCCATGCCAATCACTCGTAGCGCACCGAATTCGGTTTGTTTAGCTGTCCCCGCGGCAGCATGGAGAACTCCAGTCCTTTGGCGTTGCCGTAACGCGTTATCTGCCCGATTTGGTATTCAGCGGGGCCAGGACCAGACTTTTTGAAGGCCGGCATCGAGGGTTTCCGTCCAAACGAATACTGTGGACCACGGCGCATGCGTGCGTCGCATTTCTCATAGCCAAATGTGCTCGGCAAGGTGTAGGCAGCCGGTCCAGGTCCTAAACCAAAAATTGTTTAACTTACATTTAAGACTTATTTCTCATCTTCATTTACCTGTTGGTCTTGGCATTTTTTTTCGTTTTTTTATTTTTTCTATTTTTTTTTATTATTTTTTTGTTTTAAATACTTTTTTTTTTAAGTTTATAGTTCGGGGAAAAAATAGGTTTTTGTAAAAATTTTGAGCTCTGTTCGAGTTGTTGTCGAAATGTGTACCGTTGGCACAATGAGAAATTCTATAAACTAATTCTGATATCTGTACGATCATAAAAGCAAGGGTCAACTGTTCCCATATAATTCCGGTTATACACTCTTGAAAATTTTTTTTTCTTTTTTTAATCTAGTTTTCCTTTTTTTTTTTTTACAAAAATTTAAAAGTAAATGTGTTCTTACACATAAAATTTTTAACATTACACTAATTTTCGTATGGTTTTTATCTCGAAGACTTAGTTTCTCATGACATACTGGAAAATTAAAATGTTTTATTTAAAATATATTTGCGGACTCAGCTTTAATCGAAGGAAATACGGATATTCAATCTATATTTATCGATTTTCGGGCAAGCCGGCAGTTATGGATAATTCAAATTTTCTGTTGTACATCAGAAAATTGCAGAGTATATTTTGCTCTTCTAAATGATGTGTTCAACTTAGGGCTGCACATGAATTAAAATAACTGTCGAGGGTTTAAATCAAACCACAAACCAACTCCTTCTCTTAAGCTTCAGCTTGTAATTCTAGTTTTCTCCATCTATTCTACAATAAGGAACTAGTTAGGTCAAGGTTCGGTTGTAAGTAGGAAATAAATAGTCGGGGCTGTGATTTATTATCCTTACAAAGATCCTTCGTCGTAAATCTATACTTGTAACACTAGGATGTCGCATAAATTTTTAACTATCGAAAGTAAAGAGTTGCCCAACAACTTTTCGGTTCGATTTATTTATTCATAATTTTATATTTTAATTTAAACACAAGCCATTATCCGTATTCACGTTCTTGTTAAACCTTTTTAGAGGGTATTATAATTTTGTCAGGTTCTTGTATGTGAAAATAATATTTTTTCCAATATATTTTCATCAAACTCAGCCTTTAGGAGCTTCACTTTTCTCACAGCTGTTTAGAAATTGGTATTATAATTCATACATTAATCGTGCTGCGATCTTATAAGGTAATATATATTCTTATATGCTTATATGTTCTTATAAAATATATTTGTTTTTCAAGACATTTTAATCAAACTGAGCCTTGACACGCTTCACTCTTCTCACATATCTGAAAATGTCTAGAAGGGTATTAAATCTTCGGCGTGCCGAACATATCCTTACTTGCTCGTTTTAAATATTTAATTGCTGAAACCAATTCCGTGCTTTTGTTCTTTATATTTTTAAAAGGATAATACCCTTATTATCTAAACTCTATAATTTGTTGTTCTAAACACGATTAAACATTTATTTATTTAAGTATTTTTCGCTAGACGCCTTAGCTGTTGTATTATTATTGTGCAATGTACGTAATTATTCACTCAAATAGGCAGCTTCTGTTGTGGGCCAGTGGCAATCAACACTTGGGAATAAAAATAAATAATAAAGCACACGCTCATTTATTATTAACACCTAAGGTGTAAAAAACATTAATTAAGTTTAATGCACACGCCACACTAATTAATATTTAATTCGTTTCAAATTGTACAACTTTTGCATTGTTCTCCCGTCGCTGACACGAGATGCTCCTCGCCTCATCTAATCGATGACAGCACATTCCACTGCACAGGCACATATTCATTCATTCATTCATTCACTCATTCATTCATTCACTCATTCCCGCTGTCAGTCAGGCATTCATTCATATACAATTTTTACTGAAACTGAAAACGCATTCTGACAAGTGAATCTGCCGCGCGAGGCCGCCAGACAAATTGTTTGCTGTTCATTAATCTAAATAATGTCAACTTTTTGCCGAGAGTCTGAGACTGTCGTTTGTGGTACTCGGGGAATCCCTGGACAGAAGCAACTGATTTGAAATAGGTGCCATTCATTTCTGACAAGCAAATTACAATTCCAAATTTATGTCAACCTCCATGAAGCAATATGATTTCATCTTTTATTTTTTTATTTTTTTGTGTGTTTCAAGTTGTTGCTCAAAAGTTGTTCGTCAATTTGTCTGCTAATTTTATCTGATTTTTGTTTTGAAGTAGGAGTAGGTTTATCTATACGGCTTGACTAGACGATACCCTCTAAGCAGAACCAATTGGGATCATATGATTTCATATGGTTGATATAATTGTGAAAACAAGGTTTGAACCCGGCATTTTTCTCATTCTTTATTTACCACGAATCGAATCTGAATTAAAATGAATTATACGAGTATTTTTTAAATGATATTATTTATCGATACATATATATATATCGATATTAGAGCAGGGCAGCTGTTATCGATATTTAAAAGTTTCTGATGGAAATAGTTTTGTGAATTATATGACCATATTTTTATGGTACCCCTTTTGTAAAATTGATAAATAAAGGGTATGCATAATATTTTTTGGCACAAAATAATTTATAATACAATTTACGCCTTGTGATTGCTTCGCAAATAAATTCTAAAAATTCAGGAAACTAAGCAAAACATTTAAATTTTATTTCTTGTTTTGATTATAGGAAATAAAATTAATTTTTTCAAAAGTATTTCTGGTAGCTGTTTAATAAAATCAATAAAAAAACATAATAATACACAAATATTTTCTTCATTTCTCAAGAAATTGCATTGAAAAGTTGACGAGCAAAAACTGAGAGAGTATAAGCACACGCGTCAAACATTGTAAATAAAATAATAATTATTTATCTAGAAAAAAATTAAAAATCAATTAATATAAATGCAAACAATTCGAGTTTTTACTAAAAAGCTCCGCAAGGCAATCTGCAATAAAAAAGCAATTAACAATTTATTGTTTTATTGACAGGCAGATAAATTATTAAAAATGATTTTGTTACATATTCAAATAGCCAAATGATAAATTAATTGAAAAAACTTATTTGCTAAGGGGAGAGAGAACTCTTTATTAATTCATTAATTTTTAAAGTCGCTTTCAATTTTCGATTAACAGTTTTCAGTTGACCCTTTTCCATTTGTCACTTAAAATTTGTCACACAAACTTTAATTCTTTTTGCTGGCATTTTTTATTATAGTGCTGAAACTTTTGCTCTGACTGCATAAATTAAGAAAGATGCATAAAAGTACGACAAAAAACTTGCTGCACTTACATAAAAATTATGCCTAGCGGGCACTCGACTATCGTCTGGCGTTGCATGTTGCAAGCGGGTTGACACTTGCTTCAGGCCAGATGGTTGAGCCTGGGCTGCCATACTTAAATTTGACGAAATATTTAAAACTCACGTTAAAGGAACCATTTTCTATGCAATTACAGCAACAAGATGCACACAACGGCCACAGAGGAATATGTGGCGCCAACGCAGCTGAGGCTCAGCATGGATTTGGGTATTTCCAATAACGTTATTGAAATGGAAACAAATCTGCAAATGCCTGGCAAAAATTGCACAAATAATCAACAACGACGTGGACGACGACGACGAGCACGGAGCGCACAATATGCAGCCGGAGGAGTCTCTGGCATTTTTTGTTGGTCCATCAATTTGGCCATTTTGATTTTCCTGGCACATAGCACGAATGCCGGTAAGTGTTGTCCTGCTGAAATACTAATAAAATGTCCGTTATGAGTTAAATGATTTGACATGCGAGGAGACATTCGAGCAGACATGCGAACGAGACATGTGTTGCCTGAGATGCCAGCACACCCACACACACACACACAAACCTCAATTAAAAGCACATCAATAACACTCACCCTAGCTTCCTAGCAGTTGCCACTTGCCACTTGCCCCATTTCCTGTTGCAATTGGCACTTTGCTTGGCAGCTGGCTTGAGGGTCGTTGGTTTTGATTTTGATTTATTTTACAATTTAGCAACATGCAGCAAGAAATATTCTAAGCTCTGACTGTGACTGAAGAGCTAAGCCAGGGCTCTGTCTCTCGCTCCCCCTAACATTCTTGCGTCTAGTTTCTTTTTTGCGTTGCAAAGGGTCAACAGTTCAAGTGTGGTATATAAATGTTTTTCCTTTTAGTGCACGATTGTCACACACTTAAATTATCTGGGCAATTTTCATATGGCAGCTGCATTTGATATGTTCAGCGTTGGACACATTTCACAAATGTTGATAGCACTAATTTCAAACACAAGACTATCTGTTCACACGGTAGTTATGCATTTGACCTGGTTTATGAAGAAACAATCTTCGAAGCAGTCCGTCCTTGCTAGATGAGCTGTGTCTAATTGACACAATCATTTAGGCAGCTGTGAACACAACTGTTGCCAGTTCGAATCGCGGACTAGTGGGCGGATATAATGTGGTCTTAGCCAAGAGATATAGTAGGGGAGTAGGGGAGCTAGTAAGCAAGTAAGAGTACTCCCCACTTGAAGATACCCTGAACCCAGGCGCCAAGCTGCGCATTCAAATTCTTAGTTAACTACCTAATACACAAGCTGTAGCTGTGCTTCTTCTTTTCTCACACTACACTCTTACACTTACTCTACCTCTTAAAATCCAATTGATTTTCTCAACAAACTGGAATATCGATTATCGAAAACAAACGCTGCGGGGATTAAAAGGAACTACGTAAAAATTTAGGAGTCCTTAGCCCTTATAGTTTCTGCGATTGATGCGTTCATACATACATGAGAGACGGACAGACAGACAAATGGACTCGGCTATTGATGTGATCAAGAATATATATACATTATGGGTACGGAGATGTCTGTTTCGTACATTTGAAAAAAAAAACATTATATCCTTTTTAACGATTTTCAATGGGTTCAGGGCATAAAAATGTTGTTGAGCTCGGCTAGTTTTGGAGCAGAATAAGGGGGATTTCTTTCATTCTCTCTCTCTTTCTCTCTCCCTCACTTTCTCCCTCTCTCTAAATGGTTTTATGATTCGCACATACCCCCTTGAAGCTTAAAATATTTTAGATATATATATTCTATATTGTTTTTCCCATTTCACCATATACCAATATGTAGCCTCTACATGCTCTCAACTTAAGTTAGGTCTCCCATTTAAATAGTTGTCTGTCTCTCTCTTCTCACCCCGCGCCCTTCGATTGCTTCGAACGTTCTCTTTATAGTTCATTAGAGCATTCAGTTTACCCGGAGGCGATCCGTTATCTCAGCCACAAAGCAGGCAACAAAATGTGGCAACCAAAAAGCAGGCAACAACTACGCCCCGCGGAAAATAAATAAAAGCGAAAACTGAAAATGAAAATGAACCTGTCGCTGCCTGCAGTTTAGCAGCAAAATTAACACTAGCGTTTACATTAACTTTGCCAGCTCCCAAGTTACCACAGAGCCACCCCCCCCCCCCCTCCTCTCCCTCCGCCTCTCCGTGCTGTCCCCTGCTACCCACGCGTATATATCCAGGGCAACGTGTGGCAAACGTTTTCATAGCCAAAATAAACGCCCGGCAACGGCGACGGCGGCAACCCCCAAAAATTTAACCAGCCGCCAAAAATGTTCCCCAAGCGCGCATTGGAAAAGTGCTTAAAATGCTAAGCTGCATTTAGGCGCTTGTCCTGACACACACACACACACACACACACATGTGCTTGTTGCCTCGGTGTGTTTAACGCCTGTTTTTAACATTTTTGCTGTAGTTTATTTTTTTGCTGTAGCCGCCAAATGAGGCAACCCCGCGGGGCTTGGGGGCTTGGGGTCATGTGGCAAGCACTGGCGCTCGCGGAAGTGGCTGTTGCGGTTTTTGGGATGTGTTTGCAGCCATGCAGCTGGCGCTGTGGAGCCTGCACTTTGGTCGTCCACTTTTGCAATTTGTCTGTTTTAAGTTCAGCGTTTTTTTTTTAAAAGTTCTGCATTTGCCACAGACCGCCGCAAAATCCTGCGGCCTAGTAAAATATTATTTATAATATTTAAAACAAGCGTCAAATCTCGTAAAATTACAGCAAATCATGCCCGGGCTTAAAGCACTTATGTGCGGGCCTTTTGCTCGCTCCAAACTGTGATCCAATTGATTTTCAGTCTGTTTTAAGGGAAAAGGGTATATTGGCTTTGTGCTGGCCAATCCACAATTTCGATGCTTTATATCAAGTATATTAGTTCGAGTCTACAGATTATTTTGCCATATAGAAGTTTTTTACTTGAAGTCAAACAAAATTATAGGTTTAGTCTTCAGTTATGATATATGCTTTTGATACGTGTTGAATATAGATAGATAACTATAGACCTTTGAAAATCTGTATGTAAATATCCCAAACAAACCTTCTTCTGCTTAATAAGAATCACTTTTCCTCCTATTAAACTATGAACAGAGCATCTAGCAGTCGTTACCTTTCGCTCTTGCGGGCATTTTTTTTATTTTGCCCCATTCTGGTCAAGCGTCACGAAATTAATTTTAATTTTTTATAGCGCAACCTTTTTAATTTTCTATCAAGCGGTTCGCAAACAGAAAGGCTGATTTTTTAAGGCCGAGATGTACAATTTTTAGAAATCCTGGCAGTTACCTGAACGGTTTTAGCCAAAAGAGCTGCCATTTGCAGTGCCGCGTGGAAGGGCAAAAGAAAATTGAAAATAATACAAATGATAGAATTTTTGTCGAGCCAATGCTTAAATACTCTATGATACAATAATGAACTTGTGGAAGTTTTAAAAATCTCTGAATGGGTCTTATTTCTGTTAAAAAATCAACTTGAAACAATTTTCTTGTACATTTTTAAACTTTTATTTCACATCAAGTTAGTGCGAAATTCGCCATTGCACTTTTAGATTATTTGAGAATTTTTAGGAAATGTTCTTAAATATTCATAGGAGAATTGCTCTTATATTTCTTTTGACTATTTTATAAAATATAACTTTATAAATATTATATAAATTTTTTTGCAAATATTTAGCTTATGTGATTTGTATATATATTCACTTCAGAGTGGATTTTTCCATTTAAATAAATGTACATAATTTGATGACAAACATAACATCCAGATAAATATCAGGATACATCCTGAACATCCAATCGATCAGCCACGGTAAATGTCCTTAAAAATATATAGTGCAAAGGATGAACGTGTTGAGTAATTCGTGTGTTTGCATTTAAACGGCAATTTTATGTACCTGACACGACCATAAACAAAAGCAAAAGGCACTCAAAATTGCGTAAAGAGGAATAGAAAAGCAAAAGGCAAAACCAAAAGGTAAAAGTCAAGTCGTGAAAAGTGCATTTAAATTGATCACAGGTGAGAAAATGGGTTAGGGTGGGCTAACGGGTGCAGTGGGAGATAAAGTCAAATCAAATACACGTAGCCAGGTGAAAATATGCAAAGTGCAATAACAAATCCACGTAATCCCTTACACACACACACACACACATACAACAACAATAACTGCGGACAATTGTCGAGCTGTGACGGCAAAGTAAACGGAAATAAAAAGGCTTATATAATGCTTGAACGATTAAATACTCTTGTCGACATAATAATTAAATTGCCGAGTTGTAGATATCTTTAAATTTTAATGTGAACTTCAGCCAAAGCTAGGGGCAAAATATTCAGTTTTTAGTTTCATTTTTATTTATATAAAATATATAGAAAATATATTTATATAAAATTTAAATGCCTTAAACAAAGTACATATGAGCTATATGATATAGTAATTCGATCTTGTAAAGAGCTAACAACCCAAAGGCTTTATATATCTGGGATATATGCAGAAACAAAAAAAATGTGCAATATATTTGAACAGAATAACAAAATATTCCAAAATTCGACTCTTAATATCTTGTGATCTTGCTCGATGGGCTGACAAGTCAAAAGATGGACTGAAGGATTTACATTCTAGGGAAAAGATAAAATGGGGAAAATAGGGAAAAGGAAATTAATGGTTTCGATAGTTTCCAGATCTATAACAGGGTCGCATTATGCACTTCTTATGCATACCAAAAACATAAAGATCATCAAAGAACCAGTTCAAAGGATTAAAATTGCTGTTTATAACAAGTTTTCCAGATCGAGTCTAAATATACGCCTAATCAGTATTCAATGCGTTACATATTTAATGCTGAAATCATAAAACCCGTTTGCTAGAGCATATGTAATATCGACAGCAGCTAAAAATGAACTACAATTTTGCAAATTTTAAGCACATTTCAGCTGCTGCTGCTGTGAAGAAGTCGTCAGCAGTGCAAAACCGATTTGCATATTTTTGCACACACACACACACACAGTCACACAGTTACACAGAACACACACATGCACACTGTGTACAGTTGTGGCAAGAATACACCCACATAAGTTGCATACAATAAATCTTGTGACGTCTCGAGAGAAAGACGTCACGTAGCACACAAAAATGGTGGAACTTACTTTTCCTGTTTCCTGCTTAAGTTCCTGCCCCGCAAGTGCCTTGTTGTTCCTGTGTACACTGTTTTGTGTGTCTGGGAAAATCTTTTCACTCGCTGTTAGTTGGCAGCCACAGCCAAGCAGAAGGCAGCCAAGTTTGCCGAGGTCCTGGCTGCTGCATCCTTGGCCCCCTCCCCTTGGCCCCCTTGGCCCCTTTGCCAGCGCAGCCTGACGAAGAAAAATTGTAGCTAGTTCACAGGAAAATTGTCAAGTAAACGA